GAATTTTTATCTTAATTTTTCCTAATTTCCCATTTTTGTCAAAACCCCTTCAAAACGGTACTAAGTTGAGTCTCAGTTGGCGGCCTACAACTACAACAACTAACTTTTTTCATTCATTGAGAATAAGTTGGACAATATAGTCATAATTTGTTTGGTTAAAAAATCCTTATCATACGATTTTTTTTGTGTGACAATGCCATGATAAGCATTTTTTCTAAGCAAAATTTGTTTTGGGTAAATCCCTAAAAAATTTTCTAGGCCATCGAGAAAAAGGTTTAATTAAATTGTTTTGGGAGCAAAAGCATTATCACAAGCGTGTGATTCATGAAAGTGGTAGAGAAAGCAGCTTTCCATTAAAGATGTTTTCAGTAGACCGTCCAACAACAGTTTTCAGAAAAATTATCAGAAAGTAATCATTGATCGATTTCAAGTTGGTTGTCACGAAACAAGATTTTACCTATGATCAAAATCATGCTAAATATACAAAATTTAATCATATAACTGGAAAGAAGTATGGTAACTTTTAAGTTTTGACTATTTACGGAACACTTTTGTTGATAGTCCTATGACATGATTGAAGCATCCTTTTTTGAATCAAATCTATGGATTAAATTTAGTTTGCCTAGTCTAGCAATAAGCATGCGTTTTTGTATCAAAATTGAGTCTTTTTGCCGGGTTAATAACTTGTTTATTAGAACCACTGGAATCATTCGATTTAAATACTGGAATTTAAATCGAAAGATTCCAGTGGTTCTAATAAACAAGTTATTAACCCGGAAAAAAGACTCAATTTTGATACAAAAACGCATGCTTATTGCTAGAGTAGGCAAAATAAATTTAATCCATGGATTTGATTCAAAAAAGGATGCTTCAATCATGTCATAGGACAGTCAACAAAAGTGTTCCGTAATTAGTCAAAACTTAAAAGTTACCATACTTCTTTCCAGTTGTATGATTATATTGCAAGAGTAGCTGCATATTTGGTCCAGAAGTAACAACTATGCCTGAGACGACAACGGGTCTAGGTTAGAATTTGGTCAAGATCTGTTTATTTTAAACTGTAGAAACTCAATTAGAATAGTTCATCAGTATAAGGAATGAGTAGTATGTGTTTGGGCTGAAGTGGGGGGATGCCGGCGGTCCCCCATGTTTTAAGTTTCAGAAAACTTTCTCGGCAAGTTTCAATGTATTAAGTTAGTGAATAGATTTGCTTGTGTATTAGTAATAAAAATTTAATGTATTAAGATAGGGAATAGTTTTTTCAATGTATTATAAGGGGAAAAAATTTTCTCAATCTATAAGGATAAGTCATACCAAGTTTCAGATGGAAAGTTTCAGAAAGTTTTTGACGTCCGACTTTTCCATCTGCTAAGATAGTGTATAGAACTCCCGATGTATTAGTAATAAAAAGTCAATTTATAGAGATAGGGGGACAGATTGTCCGATGTAATAAGATAGGTTATACGTTTTAGATGTTAGGATGCTAAGTTTCGGATGAAAAGTTTCAAACAATCCCGTGTGTTAAGATAGGGTATAGATTTGTTCATGCATTAAGATTGGCAACTAAATTCCCATGTATTGAGAGCTGCTTAAGATTTTGTGATGTTTTAAGATGCAATGTTTTAGTATCATGGTAACAAATTGGTAAGAAAATTGAACTTTTGTGCAGAAATCTCAAAGTTTTGAAAAAAAAATTCCAAAAAATTGTTTTTTGACATTTATTTTAATATTTGGTTGCTTTTCTCATTAATGTAAAATATCAAAGAAAATTGAATGTAACGAATAGAATAAACTGAAGCCCCAATTGTTTTTTAAATGGTATCTTTTTCAGATAATTACACGGACTTTTCCATAAAAAACTGCATTTTTCTTCATTTTTTTAAAATTTGAAAACACGATAAGATTTGGTCTATTTTGAACCAGTTCGTGGGCTATATAGTGTACTGACTTTCTAAATTAAAGCTCATATTGGCTGAAACTAAGCTGAAACCGTGGTGAAACGTATAGAAAATCTCCAATTTCTCGGAAATTTTTTTTGAAAATAACCATAATGTAGGAGAATAAAATAAGACTTTATTCGTGTAAGACTTGGCATCTGTACAAAAGTCTCGACTTTACACCTTTTATATGTAAGTTTAACAAGGTTTTTGGTCCAGGTAAATAAAAATCTATCGACAAAATCATTTCAATTGATCAGTATTAGCAAAATTTATTGAAATTTAATGAAAAAAAATTTGTGATTCGAATCTTTCTCGTTTTTTTGACAATTATTAAAATCAGTACAACTTTAGAGAAAATTTTAAATTTTTGCACAAACTCCAATTTTATCCAAGTTTTCACTAAATTTATCATTCTGTTATTAAAAAAGAACAATTTCGAGGAACTTTCAGAAACAATTTTCAAAAATATACATTTTATTTGACAAAACTCATTCAATTTTGAATATACACATTTTTTCTTAAAACCACACAATTTCTGCTATTTCATCTGTATTAGCACTGGATCGATCTATTTAATGCTTAATACAAGCATATTAAAATGAGGTTATATTTCAATAACATTTACTCATAATCTTTCTTTTGATTCTACAACATTAATTATCATGAAATTTCCAAAGAAGGCTGATGTTCTAAGTTAGAACCTGCTCTCTGTTTTCATTGAGTTTTTCGTTTTTGAGCTCACTTTGCTTGAAATTTTAGGCCGAATTGGGAAATTTACGGGGAAAAATATCTATTGAACGAACAAATTGCCGACAGTGGTAAAACTAGTGATAAACCTCAACAACTGAATTTTAGTCTGTAATTGTGCAATTTTTAAGCAAATGAAGTTCTCTAACTGAATAGCTAATTTGAACGTTGTCAGCAAAATACAACTTTTGCAAACAATAGCTATCAATTTTCTTGCAAATTAATGGTAAAGTCTTCTTTTAATCTTGATTTTTGTCCAAAGTACTCAAAAAAGATTGAGTGAAAACGAATTGGAGCCATTTAAAACACATGTTAGAAATGATTTTAAAGGTGTATTTTTATGAAATTTTTGATGATTGATACAACAGCAAACCTTCTGTTTTTATTAGAAACTCTTTCTATGCACACCTTTCTCCGGAATTTCTTAACTGAAATACAAGTAGAAATACGCAGTGAAACCTAGTTTTTGTTCTCTAATTTTTCTTAACTCTACCAAAAAAAAATGCTTTAAGAAATTTAACTCAGAAAAAAATTGATTAAAAAACTGTGGTTAAACAATTTGTTGTTATATAAATTTTAAGCAAGTTTGATTCAAAATCATAAAACTGTATCATGATAGACTACAAACTCTGGAACAGCACATGTATTCCATATATCTGATACCTATTGGTCAAGATGGTCTTCTCAAAATATGAGAACCATTCAAAAAAAGATTCAACGCAGACTGTTATGTTTGAAAAAATGTTTGAAAAAGGTTAAACAAGCTAGTCCTGCAAAACTAAAATATTTGTTCTGAGATTATTTACAGGGGAAAAACTGAAGCTTAAATTGGCCAATTTGATTCCAGTCCTAACAGAGAGTAATCATAATCAAGCAGTTTCTTCAATTTTTGACCACAAGCCTGACTGCCAGTGATAAGTAAGCTCCTGGAAAGCTTCACAAACATGATACCGTACTTCAAAAAATCTGACTCAACCAACAAAAAGCAGTTCAATGTTCGGTTATGTCGAGTGTCAGTTGATGCCGTCGTTTCAAATCAAAAAGATATAAGACAAAGTCTTAATGATCAAACAAAACTGACACAATGCACGTTGATAAAACTGTAAAAAGCCTTCGATATGGTAGATCATTTATTCTAAGATCTTATTTGGGTCATAGGAAGCCGTTTGTAGTCATTAAACATGCAAACTAAAATATATTTGAAACTCGCACGATGAAAACCAGCTGTTTTGAAAATATGGTTTAAGCAAACTAGCTAAAATTAAACGCAGATAAAACCATAATTTTAGGCAAAACCAACCGGAAAAAAATATTTTAGAGTAAGGCGTTGAAAATACCATAGTAGATTTCCAAGGTGGATCACAAAGCGAATTTCATTAGCCCGTAAATACCATTCAACCCAAAATCAAAGATGAGAAAAAAAGCTTTTTTTTCTGCGAATAAGGTTTGTTTTAGTGAACTAGTAAAAGCAATGTCTTAAATTTTCAGATGTGAAAAAAAAACCTTTTCAGATTGTGAAAAAAATCATTGCAGATAATTTGAAATAACAAATTTTAAAATTGCGCAGTACAACAAGAAGACTACCAAAAGATGTACACAAATTCAAATGATCAATTATATTTAGACTAAAATATGATCCTAAACTTCTTGATTATATAAAAGGATTAAGAAAATAAAAATTGATTATATAGAATATTCTTCAATCCTGCAATTGAGTACATTCAATCAGTTTGTGAGACTGGTTAATAAAAGATTTTTTAGAAAAAATTATTGATGAAACATGAATTGTTTTCTGTTTTTTCATCTAGTATGTTTTTTTTTCTTTTCTGACAAAAACCAACTAAAATAAGTTCTCAATAAGAAAACAATTGAAGTTGAAATTTGGCAAGTTTATTTTTTACCCAGTATCAAAAAATACTAAATGAATTTCCGCTTTGAAACACCTGTGCACGGACTTGTTGGTCAAATGGTGCTCTCCTAGGCAGTAAAATTCTTGACGTGGTTTGTGAATTTAATTGATAAATTGCCCACAAAGGGACGACTGCTCAAAAACGTTCAAGCATTAACAAGTCAGAGCATTTCTTCTAAGTCGAAAATCCAAGGTTTTTGTTTTTGGTTTCACTGGGATCTAGAACGCAAGCAATTAGGTTTTCTTTAAATGAATTCCTCTGTTAAAAATCAGCCAAAAAATGCAACTTATTGCGGTTTAATTCCAATTTAGGCCAAGATTTATACATTTTCGCCCAGGAGGGGAAGGAGGGTTTGTGTGGCGCCATTTTTTACTTCCTCAACCACTCATTGACAGCATTCAACTTGAAATTATATAAAAATGTTTTGATTATTTATTACATCAATATCTTTGTTAATTAATAGATGATAAATTATTTCCGACAATACAAATTAAATTAGAGTATTCAAATTTGATTTAATCGGCCAATCTTTAATTGCATGAGGACATTAAAATGATGGATTCGAACATTTTTCGATCCTTATTTGATCTCATAGTTTCATGATTTGTCGACTCATGTCCCTTTTCTGTTGTATGGCCTTCACTATAGTATGGCCTTCTTCATTGTATGGCCTTGACTAGTCCCTCGAGTAGTTCCTTGTTGTTGGATGCACACACAGTCTTGCTGCTGTCCCACTCCTTGTGGTCCTTCACCTTTTTCACTATCTTGTCCTTGTCCAGTCCCTCCACGTTGTTCTGGATTCCCACTATGAAGTTAGTGTCTTTTGCACCCAGACCTGCATTAGACAAATACGTCAAAAAAGATGCTATGTTTTCTTTTATAAGATGGCAGAAAATAATTTGCGAGTTTATGAAACTGCATGATATAAAAATTTATGGCAGCAGAATTTTAGTTCCCATGGGTTAGAATGGTCATACTCTGTGATGATAATTGTGGTAATTTTTGACATTGACTACTCTTTGGAACTGGTTTCATGGGTTAAGCTTAGCGAAATTTCTAAGAAACACGAGAAATTTCCAAGAAAGTAGTACAGAATAATTTTAGAGTTACAATAAAAAATTTGAAAATAATATCGGGTGAAAAGGTATGCTACCTCTTACAAAAAGTTGAGAATTTGACGATATCTTTTATGAATTTGTCTTAACTTTAGAAACCTGACCTTTGTCTTGTCGAAAGAGAGGGATTCTCTTTTTGGCCTCTTCTCTGATCTCCTTGTACTTTCTCTCCTTCTGGTCATCTAGACTACCCACCACCACAAATCCTAAAAGGAATATGTTCCAATACAGGAGTTTGATTATTCAAAGTGTTATCTCTGACCTATACATTTGAAGTTTATTTGCATTACTCTTATTTTTTGTAGCTCGTAGTGCGTATTGAGTTTGCTTCAATCGAAAAATGTGAACGAAACTTTTTTGTAAGCAACCTCGATTAAAGTTAAACTTGATCAGCAAAAACGCTTGGCTTGAGCATCCAATCCAAATTAAATGGGCAGTTTTTGGTTGCTGTTTTCTGTTATGTTTCGATTTCTGCCGGTCTTACCCTTTACTAACTCCATGTTGAGTGACCTGTGGGTTCCGTCGTCTGTCAGGAAGTCACTTCCTTTCAGGGATTCCTCAGATCCATTCAAGCAGAAAAGATCCATCTCAAATGTCTGGAGTTAAACAGGCAACGTTTAAGCTCGTTCAAACTGAACTCTTATGCAGTCTCTCTCCTTTGAGCATTCTCTTATGCAATCTCTTTAAGGAAATTTTCCTCTATCGTCCACATTTTCTTTTAAAATTTGATTTCTCATTTGCGAAAAGTGCATTAAAATGCCTCTGGAGGCAAAACATTTGAATGAGTTTAAATGGGTTGAAAATGTGATAATTATCTTCATTAAGAGCTTAGTTGATTTGTTTTTTCGAATAATTTTTTTAAATTAATTTATCAATTTCTGAGCTCGATATCTAAATATTTGCAACTTTTGTTTATGTTCTGCTCATACTTTTCCCTCCTGGGTGATTTCGAACTGGAAGTGGGACCTTGGGGCTGTGCTGGACCTCCACTTGCAGCTCTTGACTGTGTTGGGGAAGGAGTCTTTCATGAGTGTCTGCATGAGCTTCTTGCTCTCCTCACAGTTCTCATTGTTCAGATACACCACCAGAAACTGAGCCTGCACTTTAGTCATACTCTTCTATGGTTCTAGAAAAACAATAATTCACTATCATTAATTAAATTCCAACAATAATCAGCAAAGAAAAATCGTTTTGTTCTTTTTTATAACATTACTTTCTAATAGAATAACCATTAGATCTAAAAAATTGTTCCTACATTCGTTCTCATGTTTGCGTAAATGGGATTAATAAATTTTCATTTTAACGTTCAAAAAGTCAAAATTAAGATAGATTACGCTCGCTCTATCTAAAAGCTTAAGTAAGAGCGTTATGCAAGCTCTATTCGCTCAAAAAATTCTTAGCTCTAACGTTTTCTTAGCCTGCCGATTTTCAATTAGACTGATCTAAGAACAGGAAAAAAATATTTAAGTAAAGCAGAACCTGTAACTATAATTTTGATCAGTATCCTTGTTTCCTTATTTTTGAATTGATTCATTTGCTGTTAACTACCCTTGCTATATGCATGGGTTTTGCTAGCGGGTATACAAGACTTTTTTTTTACTGTAGACAACTTTGTTCACAGGACTCTTCCACTCCTGGTTGTACCTTGGTTCTTGAAGAATTCAAAATTCTTAATGACTCCTGCACACTTAGCCTCGAGGTTACGAATGCGCCTGGGACGGCAAAGGTCCTTTGTATGAATTGGACCAAGATAGTTTTTTTTTCATACGGAAATGTTCGGGTTCAAAAAAATTTTGGTCTAATAATTGTCTGCTTATGTTTTTTCGGCTTAGTTGCCAGATCTGAGAATCGTTTGTTCTTATTGTAAAAATATTTTACTGATTTACTTTCAGTGTTTTAGCATTTTCAAAATCTACCCGAATCAAATTTCTTACATTGGATGTAATTTTAACGGTTTCAGCTTTCTTGTTGACTTAGTGGCCCTTTTTTGAGTCAATTGTAGACCGAAAAAAAAGCTTTGTTACCGCTTGGTAGATTTTGCCTTGTTTTATCTGGGCAATCTTTTCAAAGTTTATCTTTGTTTATTTTGATAGATCTATTTGTTTCTATAGTGATAAATTATCGATTAAACATATGCACAATTTTGCCTAACAATTTTGGTTGATTTTCAGCTAACTGGTTTTCGGCTTTAATTATGATCGCTTAATTACCTAATATTTTTGATGAGAATTTAGTATTTGGCCCCAAATTTTTGTAGTCCAAAATTTTTTTCTCAGTCAAGTTTTTTTTCATCAAAGTCTTCTTTGATAGTTCTCGAGTGTCTTGCTGTCTTAATAATATACCCGTTTCATAGTAAGTCGTGCGAAAGTCAGCTTCGCCAATGGGTTTTCAATAACATTAAATCTTTTAATCACATTCAATCAGAACTATTCAGCAAAACAGTTCAACTGATACTTGATACTCTCAAGTGATACTTTATTAATAAAAAGTGACGAATTATCAAAAAATGCTCCGTGTTTAAAAAACAAAATGCTAGCAATTTTAAGCTCAAAATTTTTCTCATCTGCGATGATTTGAGAGTTTCCATTGAATGAATATCATATTGAAGCAGAAACACAATTGCAGCATCCAAGTAGTTAGCTTTCTATTTAAAATGTCAATTGAAGTTAGAAGCTCTCTCTACGGTTAGCCACAGTCAAGATGCTGATCCTAATATTGTATATTGGTATTAAAAACTTTTTTAATTACAAAATATTGTGAAAGTAGCAGATAACTAAGCGACCGAAAAACTAAATAAAAGTCAATTTTTGTTAACATTTACCCGAAAATTTTTGTTCTAAGCAAAAAACGACTCTAGCACCAAGAAATTTTTGGGTCTCCCTAGCAATCTTGGAAGAGCAAGAAAATTTTTTTTTGAGCAGACGACAGCTTACTGAACGCATGTAACAGTAATTAATGAAAAAAGTTCAGAATACAGCTAGTTAAGTTTAAGTTTCAACCCAATGTCAAAAACTGTTATCAGAGACCAAAAAAATTACTCTCTTTAAAGTATGTATGATTAAATGAAGATTTTGAGAGTGTGCTGTTTTGAATGCACGACTTCTGCTTGTTAATTACTTTCATTTTACTGGTTAATTACGCTTTTCACTTGTTTTGAAGCTTTCACCTGTATCACTCTCAAGAGTGAACAAAGTGAAATTTGAAACCAGTCAGGATTATGAATGTTTTTACATTATAAAAGATTCAAACAAGTTAATTTGCTGGTTTTAAAAAGTTGTTTGATTATTTTCTGAACAGATTAAATAAATGAGGAATCAAATATTTTTTTGGCTTCTTTTTTTTGAATTCATTAAACAAAGAACCTAATTAAAACAAATTAATAGCATTTTTTCTCCAGTAAACATGCATGGGTTTCATTTCGACCATCTACCGGCATCATTTTGCAGAAATGCTGTAAAACTCAATGTTCACAATTTTATGCCCTTTTCCGCCGCAATTAATTTACCCTAACAACAAATTGCTAGACCATATTTTGGACAGGATTGGGTTTTGTTCATATACAATAATCCAAGATTCTGGTTCAGTCGATAATGAGCAGCAGCGGAAGAAGCCAGAAGTGAGGTTCCATGGACAATAATTGATAGAAATCGATTTTTGTGGTAAAAAATGTTGGCATTATAATTGATTCTAATCACACTTTGGGACCACGCAATCGATTACAATCCTACTCAATTTCTAAATCTACTCACAATTAGTTACTCGATTTCTAAGCCTACTCGATTTCTTAGTCTTATCACCCCCCTACTCGATACCTACCCACCCCACCCGCACTTACACCAACCTCACCCTACCTGAAACCTCACCTCCCCCACCCCTCATAACAACCCCCCTCCCCCACCTCAAAGATCTCTTGGTTGTGGGATTGTCAGAGGTGTATGCGTATTTAGGGGGTAGGGGAATGTAAGTAGGGGGTAAGTGTGGGGAGGGGAGGTAGTGGTACGTGAATAAAGTAAGAATGGTGGGATGTATTGTGAAGTGTTTGGGAGGATGGGGAGACACATAGAAAAAAGACAAGTCGAGAACAAAACAACTTTTTGCTGTCGCCAAATGTAAAACACAATTTAGCAATTGCAACGTTCAACTTCAAAATTTGAGGTCAAAGTTTTGGAAAATCTAAGTTCTTACTCATATATAACTATTACAGTCCATTATAATCTTTTATAATCCATTTGAGTCTATTATTGTTCATTATAATCCATTATAAACTATTATAAACAATTTTACTGGATTAAATTGATTTATTTGTTTCTGTTTTATTTGTTTTATAATCGCGTATTAATCCATTGTAATCGGTTTCTTAAAATATTATGGAGACAGACCAAGAAAATCCATTATAATCTAGTCTTACCAATGGAACCTTATTGCAATGGTTATTGTTCCGGTTTTCGATACGAAAGTAACGGAATATTTGTGCTCGGGGTGGGTTTTTTCTTCAGACAAATTTCGACTTTTTAACTACCCATTTTTGACGGAATTTTTTATATCATTCAAAATGTATTGTTTTCCTGAGCTTAAATTTTAAAAGATACTTCACCTGTGATCATTTTTCGTAAAGTTATGGGGGTTTAATGATTGCCATTTTGGCCAATTTTGGACAATTAACGCGCGATATATTTCGCGCTATTAATGCTTAAGCGGAGATTTAATCCGTCTTAGAAAGCGTTCCAAATTGGTTGAAAGAAGCTTATTTGTCACAATTGATTTGTTACAAGGAGCAAAATCGATACTTTTATACTTTATATGGCGTGTGCGGGAATAATTTTCATAAAAGTTTCAAATTTTAGAGAAAAAATTTTTCATTTTATTTTATTACATTTAACTTTTTAATGTTATTACTGCTCCATAAACCTTAGAAGGCAGTCGGAACATTCAGGGCTTCGCCCTGGTATGAGCAGTCTTGTTCTACATGCAGACACTTGCCAGAGACGTATTTTAATTTTAGCAGTGAGAAGAGCTTGCTTCGCCGGCTAGTGTTTTTGAACTTTTTGGAAACTGATTTTCGAACAAATATCTGCCCGAATTTTAATAAAAATTGTAGCTATAGTTTATTTAGTTTTCTTGCCTCTATTCCCGGATAGATTTCATTTTTTTGTTCAATTTTCTCAAACTCACATTCAACTTAATATCAATTATTGATCATTACTAGAGAACTAAGTAATGAAGCAGTAACACTTGGGTTGTTCTATGTGTGTTTTAACTCGGAGGTAGGAGGAGGAACTTGTCAATTGAAAATAAGTTTTTAACCAATTGACGCTTTAGAAATCTTTGTTGCTCAAAAATTCTGTCTAATATTCATTTATTCTTGCTCAAAAGCTACACGATGTCGAAAATGCTTAATTGTTTAGGAAAAAAAATGGAGCCTGCAGTTCAGTGTCAGCTCTTCAAAAATTTCAAAAGTTTTTTTTTGTAAGGGTAACTAATAATTTTCTATGCACAGAAAAATTTTTACTGTACAGATATATTGTGATCTGTAGGAAAAATGTGACAAAGGTAGCTTCATAACTTACACTCGCCATGGTATTCTATTTCATCTGCGTTTTTTCTGAGCATTTTATACAACAAAAGTCAAACTTTCAGGTGATGAAAGCATATATTTTTGCTGAACTGAATCAATGTGAAAAAATTTTTCATCTTTATGTTACAAAAGCGGTGGACAAAAACTAGCAAAAGTTAGATATTTACAAAAAGAACCGGAGGAAATTAATCATCGTGGTAACCTTATAAATTAAGCAAAAGAAAAAATTGTTTCAATGAGCCAACTCGAATTTTGTTGTTTATGGTGGCAAAAGTTAGGTTTATGGTGCTGGTTGGTTCTAAAGTCAAAAAAGCCCAAAGTAGGATAGAAGGTAACAAATGTAATTTCACACGCCAATAAAAAAACAGGAAAACTAACGAAGAAACTTGCCATGTGAGGGTGTTAGTTCTGGTTCCTACACAATTAACTACGAGTTTAATAGACAAGACCATTTTATGTGGAATTTTTGCGTCTTTTGGGACAAAATAATTGAAAACGGAGGTGCTTGAACTACGACGGAGGTTCAACGTAAGTCTCGCTGCACATGAAAAACATGTATAATTGGAAGAAATGGGAATCTGCAACCGGCTCCAAGACCTACCAAAATTCAAGATCTGAAGAAGAAAACGGAAAAATGGATGTTCGAATGGGGACTATGTCTTTGAAGCAAGTTGCAGCGATCATGGACTTCAAGTACAAACCATTGATAAATCTGCATCCCCTAGATTGCCGATAAGAAAAATTGATGTACTTCACTAATTCATAGTTTGGTTTGTCGCATAAACTTCAGAGAAACAAATTTAGTTTTCTAAATTGAAATTTGAGAGAAAAAAGGTGAGCAAGACTGCCTTTCCAGATATAACATTGTTGTGAGAAATAGAGCAAAACTGCTGCTGAAACAGTACAATCCTTCAATGTCTATTATTATCATAATGATGGAATTAAGAACTTTTTCTGATAAACAACCAAGTCATAAAGTTTTTTGAAATGATCAAAAATTTAGTTTGGGAGGTTCATTTTGAGTTAATTGTCAACTACAAACTAGAATTTTAATAATATCGAAGGTTTTGATGGTTTTTGTATGTAATTTTATTGCAAAAAAGTGGGACTGAAACCAATTTGGGACCCAATTCCGCATATCAATTTTTTTTGAAGTTGACCGAAATACACCGAAAGATTTGAAACTTCCTTCGTCTAGACTATCAAAGTCTGCAAAACAAATGCAGCCATTGAAACATCCAAGCTAATAACATGGGATATAGCCTATTTTTGGTTGAACTGAAATCTGGCTGCAAAAAAAGCACAAAAAAATCTGAATTTTGTTTTCAGTCTTACATGAGTTTTTCTGATGTCGTAGAAGGAATGAAAATTTTTAAGAAAACGGCAATGGAGTGATGTTGTTTGCCACTCGGATACGAAATATAAAAAAAACTAAATTAAAAAATTCGAATATCCCAGAAAAAAAGCTACAAACCAAACCCTCTGAACCCAGCATTGCTTGTCCTGATGAATTTTTGTTACTGATGGTTCAAAACTTACGATTATACCGAAAAATTTATTTTTCAATTTTTAAAATTAATGGTTTCAGTGCTCGAGTCAGCTTAAGTAAAATTCGTTGTTTTTTGCTTTTTTGAATAAGATAACACCTAAAGCAGAGTTTTCGTTTTTATTGCATTAGGTAAATAACAAATATTTTTGACTCTCGTTTTAATTTTTCTTTATTATTTAAGACTGGAGAAGAATTATACCTAAGTGGCATTTCAAGTACTTGAAGTAAATCTACACAAACAGGCATGAAGCCCAGTGAGATCTGTCACTTAGAAACTTACAGTGGTCACTCTGTTGTTGACAACACTTTTTCTTAGCTGGATGTTAGTGTTTTGTAAATTATTGCTGGTAGGTTTTTGCCTTTACAGCTTTTCCCACTGCTGTAAGCCCATTTTCACTAACAATCTTAAGTTTGATGTTAGCAGATAATTTAGTTTATGTTGTCTGCGTATACTTTTTGATATTAAACTTTATTTCCATGTATACCTGTTGTTTTGACTTGGAAAAAATCGTCAAAATAAACTATGCTCAAGGATATAGTATTGGTGCTCGAAGTGAACAGAAAAAAGATTTCTAAAGCTCGAAGTTAAAAAGTACTTCACCTGTTAGCGTTAGTGTAAATACATGGGGTTTTAATTTGGGGCTATTTTGACTGCTATAATTCAAACTAAGATAATTACTGCGTACTATTTTTTGTCCTAATAAAAATTTAGTGGCAAATTAAACAATTATTGGATTGGAGAAAAACTCGTTTGAACTTTTGAAGAAAGTGACGGAATAATTACGCGCGGGCTAATTTTTTGGCCAGGTTATTTTTGACTTCTTCTCAAGCAAATTTCGACGAAACTTCAAAAAGTAGCATCCAAAAAGTTAAATTCAAAATAAAAATAAAAAGTAAGTTTTGTCTTGATCTCAACTTTATATTGATATCTTACGTGTGATCAGTTTTCGCAGAAATATGGGGCCTTAAAGATTTGCACCTGGCCAATTCGGGATCATTACCGCGCGATATGCTTCATGCTATTACCGCCTTAGCGGAGATTTAATCTGTTTTAGAATTCCAAGTTTAATTGAGGCATAATCCTTGGTCCGTTAAAAATTTGCTATATATAAAAATCGTTTTGTACTTTTTATGGAATCTTGGGGAAGGGTATTCTAAAAAGTTGCCGAGAAATTTTTAAATTTTTGTTCTACGTTTTGAAAATTCAAAAACTTTTTATAAAAACTTCATAGATCTTAAAAGCAGTCGGAACATTTTGCATTCTGGGATTTTCCCTGATACCAGCAATTTTATCTTATTGATGCATTAGCAGACTCAATATATACCACAGGGGCGGATCTAGGATTTTCTCGAGGGGGGGCGGATTTTCAAAAAAATTTTCGAAAATTTTGACGACCTTTTTTTTAGGACAAAATTTTGAAAAACAGGTCAAAAAAGGCGTTTTTAGGCACTTTTTGGAAAATTTTGACCCAAAAATTGCGTTTTTTCGGCGCGCGCTCCTCCCTCAAAATTAGTATATATTGGCGCCAAAGGCGCCTTCAGAAAATTTTTAGGGTCCGTCGGCCAAAAATGGATTTCTTAAAAAGTATCAAAGGGGACCCTTTGGGTCGGCAGGGGGTCGAATCCCTGATAAGGGAGAGAGCATCCGCCCCCCACCCCCCCCCCCCCCTTAAATCCGCCCCTGATATACCACTTGGTACTTTTACAACATGGCGTGTAATTAAAACGGAGTAAAAAGCGAAACTTTTCAGTTTTTTTTGCAGATTTTTCAGTTTTGAAACCAAAAAAGATTTCATCGTCGTCATAGGGCACTCGGATATTTAAGGCATTGCCCTGATACAAACTGTCTTGTTTTGTATTTTAAAGTTCGTCGATTCATTTTCAAGATCTCCGCGCATCAATTTTGGAGTGATGAATGATCAGCTTTAATTGATTGGTGAAAATAGTTCCCATTTATTGGTGACATATGGAAAAAATTTGATATTGTGACGTTCATCTGATATTTACAAACCTGAGCCGTATTAGGGGGGTGCGGGGGGCGGTCTCCTCTCTCAGGGATTCGCCCCCCTGCCGACCCAAAGGGTCCCCCTTTATACTGTTTTGAGATATCCATTTTGGCTGACGAACTCTAAGATTTTCTAAGGGCTCCTTCGGCGCCTATAACTAATAATTTTGAGGGGGAAGGTCAAAATTTTTCACAAAACACCTAAAAACACCTTTTTTTGGCCTGTTTTTTCAAAATTTTGCCGGCGGCTCAGAATATTTGGCCCAAACAGGGTCTTTTTAGTGCTCTGAGAGAATCAATTTGATCGACTTAAAACAAGGTCAACAAAAATTTCTAAAGTTTTTTGAAAATCCTCCCACCCCCTCGAGAAAATCCTAAACCCACCCCTGGTAACAAGCATGTCATGAAAATGCGGAAATTCTATGTTAGATTTTTCAATGATGAACATGCCATCTGGTTGAGTACTGTACTTAAAATGGTGTATAAACCAGCCGAGGTACAAGCCAGCCGAAGTTTCAACCAGCCGAAAAACTCGTAAGCCTTACATAATGGTTTTTGTTAGACTATGGTAGCTGATTTTTAAAAGTCAGTGTTTTGTGTTCTCATAGCATTTTTTGGGGCGATTTGTCAAATAAAGGCGCAATTGCTTATTCTACTTCCTGCATCGCCATACTCATTTGCGATGTCTCAAACTACTTGATAGGTTTATCAAAGTAATTGCGCTATTTTTGCCCCAGCGAGAGCGCATGTTTAACTTCTAGGACAACTTTTACAAATGGCTTATGTGTATAAAAGGTTGTTTTAGGTCAAAATGATTTAAAGCACAATTTTATTAGGCTAATAAGACCATTACCCTAAAAAGCGATCTGTTCCGAAATAGATCACAATCGTGATGGAAGTGTAAGAACTCTTCGCTTTTGAATCATAGATCAATGCTTGCTGCTTGAGGGTAAAACAACATTTCCAAACCCAGAAAAACTCCAAAAAGCTAATTAGTGAGATTCTGAATAAGGGTTAAACGCTAAGAGTCGAGGGGTTAGATGCTTGTTGATTTATCTTGTGGATAAATGGTGCACTTGGTTTTGAACGTGCGGTAATTGATATCACAATTTCCTTCATTTTTTTCGCTCCTGATGAGAATAGAATCAAAGCTAAACCTCGAAAATGAAAAATCTTAAGAATCATGAAAGCTGTGATTTGTTCTTAATTTGTGGTTCACATTAGCGGAGAAAAAAAACTAAGAGCTCTTTTTAAAACTGGCTATCACTAGCTTACCTGAAAAGTTCTGCGTGAACAAATGAGGTACAGAAGTGTTGATTAAATGTATCTAATTTTGGTAACTTGTGCGTTTGTTTTGGTAAGACCCACTTTGGTAGAGAGACTCTGACTCGAAATGGTTTGTTTAATATTCGCTTGAAATCACACTTTATTCCCCTAAATACGGAATCAATCACTATGAGTACTAAAGAAACTCTGCCCCCAAATTCTCTTCTTTACTACATGAACACATGACACAGTTTAATTTATCTGAACCTTTACTGGAATTAAAACATCTAGCCAGTTAACATGGAATCCGGAGAATGCAGGAAAATCCAAAAAGCAAAAATATTTCCAGACGTTATTTTCAATGAGGTGTGAAAGTACAACTTAACCAACTTAGCACTTTTCTTTTTCCTCTAAATGAAGGTTTCTTTACAAAACCTGAATTGCAAATCATGGAAACGTTTCTGGTTAATCGTGAACAGCAAAACTGCAAATGTTTTTGAGCTTTCATAGAAATTGATTGTACAGCAAGTTGGAAAAGCTCAAACGTAACATGCGCGGGTTAGTATCTTGAATGTGCAGAGATTAAAATACTACCGTCTTCAAATACTCTATGAGATTTAGTGAAGAAAATTTATAGTGTTTTCGTGTCTTGGTGAAATGTAAATGGGCTATTTTCAGACGCGAGTTCTCGACTGGAGACACTACGTATTCCTCTGATTAATTGGTCTACCCTCAGCGGAAACTACACAGCAACCTTCACTATCAACTTATACATAGCTTCTTATCAGCTACTGAAATAGGTGCACAAATCACCAAGTGGAAACAATTCGTTCCTTTGTCAAAGTCAGGAATCATTCACAGAGTTTCGCCATAAAGCATGTCTATAGTTTGCCCATATAACTTGAATTGCGGCCATAGTAGCTACAAAAAATGCATGTACACGTTAATCAAGATTCCCTTTCAATTGATCCTTGTTCTAATTATCAAATTTTTCCTATGGATTTAAAAACAATGTTTTTGCAAGTAAAATTGACTAATTCAAATCTACTCGTACTTTTTTCAGTGATTCTAAAAACCCAATTTTTTTTTCTAAAAAATTTATTTGCTCCCAAATATGAGTTTTGCCTATCAAGAGGGAAAATGTTTGGAATCCCCCCTTTGGTATTATTGTATGACATCGAGACCAAGCCTAAAACTAACTTTCCAAAGGCGCCTTTCGCGCCAATATATACTAATATTGAAGGGGAGCGAGCGCGAAAAAACGCCAATTTTTGATCAAAACCGACTTTGCAAAAAAAGCCCAAATACAAAATTTTCTGTTTTTTGCAAAATATCGCTTACGGCGCATTAAATATGGTCAAAATAGGTCTTTATAGCGAAATAGAAGAGCTCAGAAAATCCACACCCTCCGAGAAAAGCCTAAATCCCTGGATTTTGAAAACACAGCTGAAAAAAAAACAGACTCAAATTACCGCTTCAGTTTTTAGTGGTTTTTTAGACAAGCGAATTTAACTTTTTCCAACTACAGAAGCCCAACTTCAGCCAACAGAAGTTTTAGACAAAAAATATTATAGAGAAAATCATTTTTTTAGTTTTGATTTTAAGATTTTCTTAATATCAGGTTTCTCTTGATTTTTAGGTAGAAGGGGGCAAAATTGGGATTAAATACTGCGGAGATAACATTCACTGCTACTTGCACAGCAAACGAGTACCCTTTTTATAGAAAGAAAATAAGAAGTTAGGCACAAGAAAACATGTGAAAAAACGTACCTTAATATTGCAAAGAATGAAAAGGATTGGTATTAATTTTAATTTACTGAAGAAATAAGCAGATAAATTTACTGAAAACAATTAACTCAAGTCTTTAAAGTCAATTAAACAAAATATATGAAGCATAATTGAAAGGTTGTAAGCAAAATGATATGAAAACTCAAATGATTACAACAAAAAAAGCAAGAAAATGGCATGGTATTGAAAGCAGGTAATTCAAATTGTCGGCTTCGAACAAAAAATCTTTGGCGTCTTTTTGATCAATTAAATTTAGAATTCTTCTTTTCCGCTCCTCTGTCAGATAGGTCCTTTTTTGCAGTCTATCGCTCAAGTTGTCGTCCTGGATTTTTCTCTCGATCTCAAACTGGTCTTGTCGAAAACTTTCGAAAATCCGCCCCCTCGAGAAAATCCTAGATCCGCCCCTGTATGTCAGAACAACATTATCAGAACAACTGCAAAATATCCAGACGAAAAGCTACAAACATTTGCGTCGCAAAAATGTCCGCCTTGAAATTGCAATGATAGTTCTGTCCGCTCATGGGATTTAGCACTTGGTGGCCACGTCTCATCAACAGTAAAAATTTGAAAGAAAAGAACCAGAGAAATTTTGTCGTGGACACAAAAATTCGGGACACAGATGTCTATGGACCATTCCAAGGTCATTAATTTTGATCAATTTTTGTTGTTGCTTTAACTAGACATACGTTTTTTTTTTTGAAAAAAAGCTAGGAAACAATTTTTGTACGCGAATGCGACGTTTTACATTTGAATTGAGACCATCTGATTATTGCAAGTTTTGTATGTAATTGCCTGTATGGATAGAATTTTCAAAATTCTAAAACGTTTTGCTCATTTTTTAAAATTGTTCATTTTGTTCATTTTGCTAAAATAATGCATAAAATGCCAATTGAAACATATATGGCAATCAGAGCATGCAGCTGTTTGCTCTAATCCCAGCAACTTTGTTTAACTAAATTAAATTACTCTTTAGTTTTTGTTTTTGCGCTTTATTAAATAAATTTTTCAGAAAAAGACACTAAGAAGGAACTTAAAAACAGTTACCAAGGCATCAATTAGCAAATCGCCTTACGACAAAATTGACGAGACAGTTGCCCTTAGTTTCGCAGATATGTTCTAAAAACGTTGTCTAACGCATAAAAATATTTCAACTTCAACTTTGGAAAAATCGTTCATCCGTTTTTTTTGAAAAAAAAAATTGGTATTCAAAAAAGCTTGCCATCCTTTTCAATCTGAAGAAATTTTCATGCCCAGACGTATTCCCAGTTTTTAAATCAAGTTCAATTAACCTTTATCTAGTTCGTATAACCTATAAAACCGTTTTTAGTCTCAACAACAAGTAGTTCTTAATAGCTGATCAGCAATTCATCTGATTTAAGATCGGTTCTTGCTTAAATTAAAACGCGGAGGTTTTCAGCTCTTCTTCAATGCGCGGGTCGTCGCTCAAACAATGCATCATTTGGGACAACGAGACGGAAAATATCGCCAAAGAATTTTTGAAGCGTTATTTTTGTCGGATATTTAAGTTCAAGTATCACCCACTTACGTTGGTTTAAGGTTCGCACGATGCTACAGAGTGCTTTTGGTAGGGTTTTGAAATCATAGTTATGAGTTTTAGCTGCGAGTTCAACAGTTCAAGTTCAGTAGTTGAAAAAACCATTAGTAATACGGCGGGGAAATTCAAATTTCGTTAACCTACCCAATTTTCAATATCCTAGCAATATCTTTCAAAAGGAAAAACTCTTGTCATTATGTATTAAGTAGAAAATTGACTGAATAAAAAAAAGAAGCCGAATTATTTCTCACTTTTTTCGAATGTCGGAACTAAAAATTTTTTCAGTTAAGAAGTTGAGACAACTAAATAGACGTTAAGGGGGAAAAACTAAACATCAGGGGAAGTAAAAAAAATTGCTTGTGCTCGGATTTTTTTTCAGACAATTTCAAGCTATTCATCTAGTCAGTTAGTTTTGAATGGAGTTTTTTCGAACCATATTGACATTATTGATGTAATTATTTCCAATTTGAAGAAACAAAACTTTGTGTATAAGCACGAGCATATGAAAGTTCTGACTACTTTTATAGCTGTATAGATTACTAATTCTATAGAAATCTATGTAACTATGGAAAAAGACTGATAAAATTTAAAAAAAGAAAAAAAAATTGAAAACCATCCCCACACGCCATAACAAGCACAATGTGATTTTTGCTTTGCAGATAGAAAATAATAAAACTACTAAGTGACATGCCTCAATTCATTTTAGTTTACGTGTTAATAGCACAATAGGCATCGCGCATTAACCATCTCAAATTAATCAACTTGACAATCTTTACAACCGCATAACTTCACGAAAAACAAACACAGGTTTTTAATTTGACCTCAGGACAACAATAATTTTTGAATGATATAAAATGTTCCGTCAAAAATAGTTAGCTAAATTTTACCAGGAGAAAAAATCCCACCGACGCACAATTACTCCTCCCTTAGTTTCCTTGAAAGTCGGAGCAATTAACCCTTGGTCTTTTCTGATATTTTATAGTGTTTTGTAAATTGCCAATTTGGTTGAATTTAGAACAGCTAAAACGGTATATGTTTCGTTCTCTGAACGCATTAACGTCGGTCTAATCCGCTTCTAATTTCATTTGAGGCAAATTATTTTGAACTTTTAATACGTCTTTAGACTCTATCTGCATCACTTGGTGTTGAAAGTTGCGTGTGTAGGGAGAAATTTTCAAATAAAAATAATTTTAAAAAAATTCGGTTTTTTTCGAAGTCAATTTGTTTTTGAAGTTTGTCAAGTTTTGACATCTTACAAGGATATTTCAGTTCTTGTACCCTAAAGGGTAGTCAGAACATTCGAGGCTTTGACTTGATATGAGCAGTTTTAAGATTTTTAATTTCTCAAAATTTGAGCAATTAAAATTTTATATTAAGATTTGAAACTTTCCTCGAATTCGGTCAGGTGAACGTCATTATATTTGCCATTTTTATTTTAAATGCCAATTTTATTTTAATGTCATTAAATGCCATTTTTATTCTTCTATTGAAGTTTTGCAGCCTTCGTTTGTCAGACTTTCGCTAACCTATCTACTTTTCGAATGGTCTAACTGATCCATTTCTTAGATCACCGTTACTAACCGTTTTGGAAAAGCGGGTCATTTTTGACTAGCTTATATGATTCTTATATGAGTATTTGTCGAATTAGATCTTTGTAGGGGATGGAAATGTTTTACCAGGAGAAGGGTGGTTAAAGAGGGTAGGCTAACGGGATTTGACTTTTTGCAGGTAGGTGAGTAGATTTAACGGGTATCCTAATTTCAAAATTTTAAAGATATTTCACTTGTGATCATTTTTTGTAAAGTTACGGGTGTTCGAAAATGGCTAATTTGTCCAATTTGGGATAATGAAAGTGCAATATAATGCGTACTTACAATAA